TCTATAAAAATAGACCTGAGATCATCGGGACTTTGAGACATTAATTTAGGAACACTAAAGGAACTTTCATTTAGCAGTATATTATTAAGGACCAAACTATAGGAACAAAAAAAAAAGGTAATAATGGTAAAAATAACAGCATAATAAAGTTGCACCATATGATGTTATCTGCTTTGAGAGTTTAAAATAGATTACAGCAATCTTCTCTAAGTGTGCACTCTTTTAAGTCTCTATTGTGTAGGCAATTTGATCAGTGAAAAATATTTAATGTATTAAATTGCATTATATTATCAAGGTATTCCGTATATAAATTTCCAAGTGTACCACTCCTGACTGCATACACTTAGAAGAGATTTACTGTATTTAAATATTAATGTAAACTAAAGTAAACTTAATACTTACAGGCTGTAATTTAAAGCAGATGAGTTGATAAAGAGAAGAAGAATCACAATAAAACATTTATTTAAAAATGAACAAACAATTATACCCACTCGTCAGGGCATTCTCACATTCGATGCAATGCTCATCATATTCATTTAAATTATTATCTTTATCAGGATATTCAAGCGGTTGTTGATTGACTTCATTTGTAATAAACTCAATGGTTATTTCAACTAATAATTTCTTGAGCTTCCTTAATATATCACTCAGTATTGGACGCCGGTTCGGATCAGTAGACCAGCATTTCTTGTAGAGATTAGCGTAATTTGAAGATATGTTGAAAATTGAATTTTGAAGAGCGAGGATTTTTAATGGCAAAACTATAAGATTGACGTATCTTGTATAGCGAAGATTTTTTATACTGATAATTTGGTTAACTCTGGATAAAATGGCTCTTTATATACTTTATAAATATTGAAAGGGTAACCGAATAAATTATTTAGTATAATAAAATAAATTTAAAATTTAGTTTGCCCAATTGATTTAGTCATCATGCTGTATATTTGAGGCAGGATATGTAATATATTACAGTATATATTCATGCCACATTTAGTGTATAATACGTACATATTGGTATAAATAATTTTAAAGTAAATATGTTTCTGTATTTATATTAGCCGTTAAAAAGACAACCGGTTTATCTTATTATTAGATAAAATATACATAAATATTAGCCCCATATGTTTTCATTATAGCATATATGGTTTTAAATGTCTGTTTTTCGAGTGGGTAAGTATAAATAGCATCATAAAATTGATTCATTGCAATTTTAATAGTAATTATTTACCGTTAAAAGAACCTTAAAATTATGAATTATAAAAAACAAATTCGGTGCTACTATTGTAATAAAGTGGGACATAAGTATGCTAATTGTTTTTCGAAGCGGTTAATAAATCAATCGTTTGAAAGTACTCTTTCTAACGAAATGTGGGAACTGTACAAGGTTGATTTTATATTATTCGTATCAGAACGAAATCACATTCATATTAACAACATCACGTGTTTTGCCTTCAGAAATTACTCCCTATAGATGAAGAAAAAAGAAAAAATTTTGTCAAGAAAATTGAAAGAATTTTAAACTATGAATGGCCTAATTTCGAAATAAAAGTTAATATGTTTGGGTAAATAAAATTTTCTAAATAATGATATTTAAATATATGTATTACTTGAGCTTATTGTCCACTTTATGAGATCATCCGTGAATTTTCTTGGAACATCAACTTCGGACGTTGATATATGCGTTACGACACTAAGTAAAGAATTAGAAAACATACTTACATTGTCTGAGAAGTTGCAAAAACGTGTATTAAGTTTATTTATCAATTTATGTTGCAAAAAATGAATTAATCTTAAACTTTTGTATATTAAACAGATGAAATGAAAGTAGTTAAATGTGTTCCCAAAGCTAAAGTGCCTATTGTTAAATTCTGGGATCCTACTACGTATATAGTTATTCTAATGTCGCTGTGCTTTTTATTATTGTAATCTTACCATTATGTTATATTTGCAGG